CACTTGAATTCCTACCATTCTTAGAAGATAAAGTTCGATGCAAAGAATTTTCACTCATGCTCTCATAAAGATGCCACACGTCATCCTCATGCCTATCAATGTAAGAGCCACCCATGGAAGCATCAACCATGCCTTTGTAATTATCGGATAAAGTTTCAAAGAAATATTGAACTAATTGCCATTTGGGCATGTTATGATGTGGACAATTCCTAAGCAATTCATTGAATCTTTCCCATGCCTCATGGAACGTTTCTCTATCCCCATGTGAAAACTCTTGAAATTGAGGTTCTCATGGCATTGGTCTTAGAAACCAGATAGTACTTGTTTAAGAACTCTTGTTGCATTTCTGCCTAAGAATCTATTGAAAAAGGCATAAGATTGTTAAACCAATATTTTGCCTTGTCTTTAGGGTGAATGGAAAAAGTTTAAGCCTTAAGACCTCTTCCGGCATATCCATGTATCTCACGGTGGAACATATTTCAAGAAACTCATCCAAATGCTTGTAAGGTTCTTCACTTGGAAGTCCATGATAGTTAGGAAGCATTTGAAAGGTTTGCGGTTTGATTTCATAGTGGTGTGCTCTAAATGGTGGCAATTGAATGCATGTGGGTGCATTATATTCACATAGTGATCTCGTAAAGTAGGGGAGGGTTAACAGTTGGAGGTGCAACATGAGCACCTTGATTGCCTTGAACTATGGGAGGTTGTGGAGCAAACATTGACCTAGGCATTCCCAATGGAACTTGGTTTTGTTGTTGTGGTGGGTGAATGAATGGCCTCGACATGCCTAATGGTACTTGCATGTTATCATGATGTAGATTGGGGTGGAGGATACCATGTTGGTCTATGTGACCAAGGTCCTGCACATGGTCCTCATTATGTACTTCCATTGTAGAAGTAGAATGATCAAAATTACCCCTTCGCCTAGGTGTACGAACAATGGATTCTAATTCAAATTAAGAGGGACAAGAGTAAGATTTAATGACCTTCGACCATACATGCACAAGCAAAACACAAACAAGTAACAAACAATCAACAATCACTTCACCTTCGTAACAATTCAACAATCAACTAACTTCCTCCACATACAATGATCCTATACACCCATACTATCAGCAATATGCAAAGAATAATAAAATTGCCTCCACGTAGGCTCACGATTTATCTAAGAATCAAAATACAAGCCTCCACGCGGGCCAACAATTTAACTAGAGATTGAGTTAAGAAAGAGCTCACAAATGGTCCTTTAGCACTTCAATTCAATTTTAGCGTTGCAAATTTTTTAGATTTTAGCTTTTTCCTTACTTTTGCTTAGCTTCTTGCTTAAAATGCTCCTTTGCTCACCTTCTAGCTCAATGCACCTAGTCAACAAGAACCAACACAATAAATAACCAAAATGAAAATGAAAATAAAGTAACGACATGATCAAAAGAGTACTAATTCCTAATTGATTCCATAAATACGACGTTGCTTTCAATTAATCCCCGGCAACGGTGCTAAAAACTTGGTGGGTGCTCGTCGTTAAGCAGCCAAAGCTTGCAAAGTGGACTAAGATGAGTGTGGCCAAGTTTTAAATTTATAAATGCCACCACTACCTTTCACTAAAAATATAGTTAGGGCGAGTAGGGATCGTCCCAAGGGATTGGTGGGTCGTATTAGGCTGTGGAATCGAGATTAGGGTTAGTAGGTCGAGTGATCAAAAGATTGGTTGGTGATTGAATTATACTAAGATGCAATTTAAACTAAAGTAAACAATTAAATGCAATAGAGAGAAAATAAGAGAGAGATCTTGGGGTTTAGAGATCACCATTAAGCATAGCTTTTCTACACCCTTAATGAATGATTAATGAGGGGGAAAACATGTATTGCAACAATAGTGTGTGTGTGTGGTTGTTTCAATAAGTATGGATGACTAATTAAGTATATATTGTCTAAGCAACATCGTGGATAGTACAATATATCAAACTAAGCCATTAATCCTTTTTTTAAGCTCACAATCCAAACACATCACAAGGTTGAGACATATGCTACTTGTTTTCATAAGTATGGAACATCAAACAATAAGCATGGATTGTCCTCCCATTTAACATCTAAAATACAACTACACTACAATTAAGCTAATGACATGAAATTAAACTAATTGAACTAAGGGAGAGGCACAATCCATCAAGAAATAAGTATGAACCATCAAATAAACCACAAGAGCATTCTATTAAGCACTATGTCTTGACAATCTCTATATTTATAGCATCAATACACATAGACATGTATCAATAACACAAAATCTAGAGACAAACATATGAACATTTATTCTAGCATACATAGACATATGGATAGAATGAAATGGTCACTTGGAAGAATTAAACCACACAAATCATTAAATAAACAAGATCTATGTATATAAATATGTCAAAACATGTATCACAATACAAATCCCCTCAAAAATACATAAATCAAGATATAGAAAACATGCTTAGGGCTAACTCTAGCCCCAAGAGGATGTCTAGCCACTCATGGATGGTGTCCTCCAACCCTCAAGGGCTAACTCCATGGTAAAAATTGCTCCTCTTCTTGATTGATGGAAGAACTCCAAGCTTGTGTCTCTAGCCTCCCCTCTTCTTTTTTTCCTCACTAAGAATATGATATGATAATTGTGTCCAAAGTCTCTTCTAGTATATGTATTCTAAAAAATGGCTCATATTCCTTATATCGGTAGGTCAAATGTCACCCCCAATGACCTGGGCTCGTACACTAATATTTCTCCCAATGATTAGATATGAGACATCTTTTAATGAGCTGGAAATTGAATTTTCTCACACTTGAGGAAGTTCGATCGATCGAACTTTTGCTGAGGTTGATCGGACATAGCTGAGATCTATCGAACTTAAACTAGATCAATCCTCTGTGGCGGCGCCTTTTCGGATAAAGACAAATCTGAGATATTTTGGAGATATTTTTAGGAAAGAGACAAAAGTGGTAGGTGTAGTGGTACAACTGGATAAGATGAAATCTTTTCGATCGATCGGAAGAAAATTGGATTGATCGAATGTTGTGGGATCTTAAATAGTTTAGATCCATCTTGAAGTGCTGAAATCGATCAAAGTTGGATCAATCGAATATTTCCTGAGATTGATCGAACTTGCTGAATTTCTACCACTTGCTTCATTTTGCTCCCACTTTGCTCCCTTCTTTGATTCATCTCAAGATTGTTTCAATTATGCTCTTATTTAGCAAAGTTAGCTTATTTTGGGAATAAGTACCTAAAAATGGAAATAATACAAAATCAATCTAAAGTGGGAAAATAAGATAGATAAAGGTCCTAGAATACCTAAGCTTAAGGGGTTTAAATACGCACTTTTCAACGTTCATCAACAATTAATACTAAGTTATAAATTAGTAATCATAAATGGTTCAAAGTTGGTTATTATGGATGGACATTTAATTAGATAGGTTGATATATGTTGCGAGAGCCGTCGTATGCAATTGCTTTTTATCACAGTCATGACTTTTGACTCTCAAGCATGAGAGAAGTATAGACTCTTTTATTAATTAATAATTACTTTGATTTGTTCGGCGGATACTTCGGGATCCTTAGACCAGCCTTTTGGGTAGTTATGTAATTAATAGTTAGAGGGTTATATTCTCAATATTTGCATCAGAGCCACTTGTATTTATTTTATATTGATTATGGTTGATCACATATTAAATTCGAAGGCCTTCATATGTTTTAGACAAAATGTTTTCTATATATTTATTTAGTAAATTATTATTTTTGTCAAACAAATATTTTATTGTGATCAAGCCGGAAATAATCAAAGGTAACAAATTAATTATATTAATTATGTTGTCGGATTGATGGCTTTATTATCCGATAAATAATTATGCATAGAAAGGTCAAAGTGCAACATTGACTTAGAGGTTATTTACTATTTAATTGGAGTGCAATTAATTTCTTTTAGTGGGGTAGAAATTAATTTATGAATTAATTAGTTTGGGTCCATGGTTTAATGGATTAGACCAATTATTAATTTATAGTAGCCAAGAAAATAATAAGCCCAAAGGATTCTCACCCATAGCCCAAGTTGATATTGGAGTCCTATTAGAATTGAGATATGTGAATTAGAGATTGAGAAGGATTTATTATTTTATTTCCTTATTTTTATGTTGCCTATATATACATGGGTCCATAAATATTTTAAAGTAGACTTTTGAAAGAACAAGGAATATACTTTCTATCTCTAGTTTTTAGGGTTTGCTTTCTTTTCTAAAGAAGGTTACCATAAGCCTTGCCTCTAAGGTCATTTATCGAGGTATATTGGTGATTTCTAAAGAGAAGATCACTATCAAGAAGAAGGATAAATGATCTTGCTAAGGGATGTACAATAAGTAAGAACAAATACTTTAGAGGAAAGATCTAAAGGTTTACTCAAACCTTTGATGTAAATATTCAATCTATTAATTAAATGATACATCATCTTTTATTTTATTTTGAATAAAACTTGTCTCTATGTTATGAATCAAAATCTATGTATGAAAATCCCTCAAAAAGTTTTTAAAACTTGTAAGTTTCCCAGCAAGAACAACCTTCAATTTTAGGAAAGCAAAATGTTGTCCAACACAAATATGCTGCCCAACACCGAATGGCATATACACTTGAGGAACCTTGCATGCACTAAGGACACCATTGGAAAATCTCTCAGGATTGAACATCTTTGCATTAGCTCCCCATATTTCAAGGTCTTGGTGCAATGCCATTGCTGAAATCCTTATATTCACATCTTTCGGGATCATAATGTTTCCGAACTTCATCTCTTTCGATGCTTTCCTCGGAATAAAATTTCCTAGAGGGTACAAACGTAGGATATCTTGGACTATCATTATCAACTGTATTCATGCAATATTATAGCACTAGATCAATTAATTAGTCTTAATTAGCATATATATATATATATATATATGTATGTATAAGACTTGTTACTTTACATCTATACATACCACTTTCATTTGGCCAAGCATATTGAAATCAGGGACACTGCGATTATCTTGTCCAAAAGTTGTAACACTTTAGCACGAGCACAAGCTTGCCATTCTGGATGCAATGCCAACAACATCAATGTCCAAAATGCTGAAACTGCAGTGCTCTTATACCCTACAAAATACACATTCTTGCAGTTGTCCATTATAAACTTCTCTTCTGCTTTTGCATCTGCATCATTTCTAGCTCCTTCAATGATCTTATGTAAAATGTCGGTCTCAGATGAATCTGCCATATGGTCTTTTGCAATATTTAAAATCATTAAATTTAACTCCTCTTCTAATCTCCACTTCCATCTATTGTTCTTGGATGGAAATTTCCTAATTAATTAACATAATGATGGAATTAATATTTATGTTATTTTTAGGGGATGGCAAACATAATTAGGGCATGATAAAATTAAATAAGAAAAACAACAATAACATTATTAATAACAACATACGATAGCCCAACAATTGTTTTCAACCAACTTTGGCCAGCAAAGGTCTTTTGAATGTCCCTAAACTTAAGAAAAATCTCTGCCCCCTCAAAATGGCTTTTTCCAAGTAAAGTTTTTGAGATGATGGACGAAGAAAAGGTTTTCATGTCTTCATTAGGGTTTATCTCTGCTACTCCCCCTTGCCTTTCTATTTCAGTTTTCCATGTCATTACCAATTTGGTTGCAACCTCCACCATTAGCTCCACCTTGCCCTACATGCAACCATATATCAAACAATTAGGTTATATCATGTAATTAAAAATATATCTATTTCAGTAGGTTTTATCACTACATCTCAACACCTAATTAGTTGCTTGGTTCAGTTTTTGGAGAAAAGTTTTTTATTTTCTGATATTTGAAAATTAGAAAATTATACAAAAATCTATTTGGTTGACTATTTGTAAGAACTGTTTTTTGAAAACTCAGTTAAAAGAAAGAAAGAAAAAAGAGAGTATGTTTTCATATCTCTTATTATTTTCTAATGATAATTTTTTATTTTATGAGTTGTTAAGAACTGTTTTCTAAGTGACAAATCAAGCTCACCCATAGTTTTTTTTTTCCCCCTATTTAAGAAAGAATTAAAGGGGGAGGGAGATTACAAAATTTAATGGGAACATTATTTAAAAAGTTGACTTTGGATGGTTTTATTACTTAGAGATGGAGTCAAAGTTAACACTTTTCAAACTTCGACCAAAATCGGATGTGGATATGGAAAAACACTCTTCATTTGCCTAAATTACCCTTAGTATATTTGAGTACAACTTTTGTGCATGTAAGTACTAATTTTGTGCATATAAGTACCACTTTTGTGATCAAAGATGCCATTCTTGTTATCAGAGGTACCACTTTTATGTATAAATGTATCATTTTTATGTAGGTAAGTACTACTTTTGTATAGAGGTACCACGTTTGTGCATGTGAGTACCACTTTTGTGCACAAATGTATCACTTTTTGTGTTGAGCATTTTGATTACTTGGTTTGTACAAAAATGGAACCTGTGTGCACAAGAGTGGTATCTTTGTATACAAAAGTTTCCATGTTAAAATCCATGCTCACATCAGATTTTGGTTTAAATCCATAAGTTTAAAAAATGTTGACTTTGACTCCATTTTCATTTATTTTATTTTTTTACTTTTTTTTTTGTGGTAATTTTTTCAAATTTAATTGATATGAGTTGTAGTATAACTAATTAATGAGTGTGCAAGCTAACTAAAATATGTAAAAGTACAGGAGAGGATAAAGTTCATCCTCCTACCTGATGTGGCCCAATACAATTTAGACACATGTTTAAAATTTTAAAATTTTTAAAAATAATTATTATCCATTTTCTTATGGGTTAAATCGAATCCACAAAGGTTTTTTTTTTTTTTTTTTTTTTTTTTTTTTTTTTTTTTTTTTTTTTAACAGAATACAATTGTTTCTATACCCAAATTGAAAAATTTTTAAATTTTTTTAAAGAATGTACTATATCAAGTGCTGAATAAGGAAGGAATATGAGCTTAAAATATTATATGAAAATTTGATGTTAACTTATAGTTAAATATAGCTTTTCTCGTATATATATTTCTTATAAGTTCTGTGATACCCCTCGGATCCGAGACACGGGTTGATCAGGCCCAGGCCCAAACCCAAGGGAATATCAAACAATTAATATTTTAATGAACACGGAATACAAATTGAATTAAAGAAATAAAAATAATAAGCTGAAAGAAACTAGAATAAAAATCCTCAAAACATAATTATTTAAATCCGTTAATCCAAAACTCCATAAGTTTACAACTCGGGAATCTGTCCAGTGGACCCCTTATTAAAAATCCAATAGAAACTAAAATATCTAAAATAGAATCTAAAGCTAAACATAAAAAAGATTCCTACGTAATCTGAGGAATGAATATCTGTATCTGCTCTGCACGTCCAAGCTCTAACCCTGGAACTGACGGACACCTGAAAAATAAAGAGTGGGTCAGGCCCACATGCAAGTCCTATTTTACTACGATCCAAGCAGTAATCCGATACGCAGATACATCCTAGATAGCTCAACAATATCTATCTAGTCTATACATATATATATCCACACTAAGGGACATTCACTGGACTACAGTAGGGGTCTCAACTTGAATAGAAGGCAACATGCGAAACGCACCCAAAGGTGGGTATGAGTACTTAGACCTAACAGGGTACACCTCAACCTACTTTAACCAGCTACGCATCCACTGCATATACGCACCCTAACCAACGAGTCTGAGACTCGAGCTCATCTCGTGGTACCATAAACATATATATAAAGTTCGTCCAAAACCAGGGTATGTCATTCAAATACTTATTGAGATGACATACAATATACAACTAGTTAGTCACTCAACTTATTTAGTTGATATGACTTAACTACCATCCATTAATCCAGGAAGCCATTCAACTTAGTCGCAGTTGATCTGACTCAATCACAATTTGGATTCAATATTTTTCAATCCATCCTTTAATCCATTAGGGTAGGTTTAAGCGTTTTGAGCTAAACCGTCCCTAGTATGTCACCATCCCATACCGGTGCATACAATCCTCCATATCCATGTAAATTACAAAACATAATAATAAGTTAGTAATTTACAATCCAAACCATTATCCATATCAGTGCAGAAAAGTATTTAAAATTTTAGCAATTAAATCCCAGCATTAATTCATGTAATTGCACTAGAGAATTTGATATTCCAACAATTAACATCCAGAGCATGCATAGTTCAAACCTTAAACATAAAATGATCTATCATGCATCCAATATAAGATTTATAATCTTATTATAATCCATTATGTTGCCCAAAATTAAGCTAAGCAATTTGGTTCTTTCCATCCATTATCAGTATGCTAAGTTATATGCTTTTATACTGATTCATCCTTTAAATAGTTTATAAAAATTTATTTATATATCCGTATTGTCAAATTTCTTAAGCATAAGAAGTGTATTATGCATTTTAGAACCATCCAAAGGCCATTCAACCCATTTAGATTACTTAAAATAGGTTCTAAAACAATTCTGGGTAATTAAAACTAAGTTCCAGGTCGCGGCCCAACTTAGTCGGCTCAATTGCCAACTGAGCAGGCTAAGTTCCTAACTTAGTCGGCTAAGTTACCAACTTAGTGGGCTCAGTCTCCGACTGAGTCGGCTAAGTTGGTGCTGATGCTGTCTTCTTCGTCTGTTCAGCCTCTGTAAACCCTAAAACTCCATTGCTAAGGCCTCTAAGCTTCAACTTACGTCCCATACGTCCATACTAAATTATTTTAAGTGTTTTAACATGCAAAGATTCAATTTAAACAACAGTTCATGCATAAAGATCCCAAACTAAAGAAAACACGAACAGGTATGTATAACTCTGCAACCCTTTGTTTTATTTTGATTAAGCGTGCATAATTAATTTGTTTAGCATTAATTAAACTCCTGGAGTCTAGCTAGGCATCCACAGAACACGAATTAAAGAGAAAGAGTAAGAACAGAAACTTACCTTTGAGTTTCAGATTTGAAACTCTAATCCACGTCTTTGAACTTCCAACTTTGTTCCACGCCTCTGTTACTCTTGGTTAACCCAGAAGCAACCCACTCCTTCCTCCTTGAGCCTCTCTATTAAACCCTCAAAGTTCCCTCTCTGTTGCTCTCTGTATTCCTCTCTGTAACTCTCCGTTTCACAGTATTCGTGAATAGGCTGAATAGGGTTTGTTTTGTAACCCATAGCAGACGTATGTTTAGGTATTTATAGGTTTTAATCTAAACCCTACATTAAATCCTAAATCAACAACAAGTCGGCTCTAACCCAACTACAATGTATAACATAAAACCCTAATAATGAAGCAGCTAAAATTACATTTAAATCACAAAGCCACATAAATAATTAAAACGCTAAAATATATTTAAGTTAAAAAACAAAATACAATTTAAATAACCAACTAAAATAATTCCATTAAAACCATAATAATAAAAGAAAATAAAACACCATTTAAATAAACCAATCCACAAGTAATTTAAATAGTATAAGACAAACAAGCATGTAATCGATTAACAATCAAATAATCAATTAAGTCCAACACACAAGCAACTAAATAATTTAAATAATTAAAAATTAAAAATTCAATTAAAATAATAAATTAAATACCAGGACTATTCTTCTGAAAGTAGGGGTATTACAAGTTCCCAACACCTTCAATTGAGAAGGCTAAGGGTTGGTTTTTTGTTTTTTGTTTGTATTTTTTTCGCCTTTCTCACATTGGTGGAAAATATGTAAAAGAAAACTTAAAAGTTTGTGAGTATTGCAAATTCTGATTGGTGCAGTTTTTTGTCACTTATGAGTTTCTTTTGGTTTGTATATTATTTTACCTATTGAATAAAAGTTGAGTGTTTTTTTTTTCCTAGTTAGGTACTCACACAAACATTCTTTCACAAAGGCTCGAACTCCTGACCTCTTTTTGAGAAGTAGGGGCTTGGTACCGTTAGACTACGATCTGTTGGTAAAGTTGAGTGTTTGATTGATGTAGATAGATCGACTATGATTTCAAATTGAAATTGGGTAAAAAAAAAATTGAGTTTGGGTTTAAGGAATTCTAAAAATTTTAAATAGGAAAAGAAAAAAAATTGGATTTGGATTTAACCCGTAAGAAGTTGGATAATAACTATTATTAAAAATTTTAAAATGTATCTTAATTGTATTGGACCACTTAAGCTAGGAGGATAAAATTCATTCTCCCATGTGAGGACTCAAGTATTCTCCTACGTATGTTAATATTATCCATGTAAAACTGAGGAGCTATGGTTCTTCTCTGGTCTGAGTTAAGAATGCCCCCTCCATTCAATACTTTCCTTTGAAAATTCTGCCTTCCTAAGTTTGCTGACGTACAGAGGCTCATCTCCTTAGCCAGATATGGATCTGTCACATAAAATACTTGAAAATTTGCCAATGATAAGATGATGTTCCGTTCTGTTACAAGATGAGTGTATTATATATATTTAGAATGGAACTGCATGTTAACAAATATATATGTGTGTGTGTGTGTGTGTGTGTGTGTGTATGTATGTATGTACACGTACCATATTGATGAGTCCACTGCTTGAGGTATGGGAAGATTGAAGCAAATCAATCATGTGAAATATTGTCAGCACCTCTTGTTGTCGATGGAGTCTTGCTCTACTGCTTGGTTGCAATCCTCATCATCTCCACAACGTTGCCTAGCGGAAAGGAAGGGGAAGGACCATTGATCCCTTGCCTACTAAGCTTTGACCGAAGCCTTTGAGGCTTAAGCCACATAAGGTTATACACAGACAAGCAAATACTGCAAAACATTAACAATACTACCCAAAAAACAACTGGAAAACTGCTTCCATGTTTTTTGGTTTCTCTCCTCTTCCCTATTGCATGCCCTCTTTTGCTAATTTCTGTGATTATTAATTACTAGCTATGTTCTCCTCTATATATGTGTGTGTGTTTTTCTCGATTGCTTCATGACTCTTTATATTTTTTTGGATCACAAGGTATCCTTTATTTAACACATTTTTTTAGCCCAAAATGTAATGTAAAGGTCACATTGCCGTATATGGGAAATTACTAGGGGTGGCAAATGATCGAGTTGGATTAGGTTTGGATTGGGTTGAAAATGAACGGGTCAAAACTCATATTCAACCCGTTCAGAACGGGTTGAAAATGGGCGGTTGAAAATCTATACGGTGGACCCATTAATTATTATTATTATTATTATTTTTAATTATTTTTTTTTGGAAGGTTTTAAAATTTTATTTAATAACAAATAAAAATAATAATCTCAAACTCAGCAATATTTATCGACTTGTTTTAGAGAGAGATAAGTGAAGGAAGAGAAGAAATATTGATGTTTTAAAAATAAAATTTTCCTAAAAATTTTGATGTTTACAAATATGGAAAAAGAAAATGTAATTTGCATATTTGAAAAAAAAAAATTGATCCGTGAAACCTGACTGATCCGCTCAAAATATTGATGTTTAAAAAATAAATTTTTCTTAAAAATTTTGATGTATACAAACATGGATAAGGAAAATGTAATTTGTAAAAAAAAATAAAAATTGTCCCGTGAAACTCGATCGGCTCGCCCAAAACTTTGATGTTTTAAAAATAAAATTTTCCTAAAAACATTGATGTTTACAGACATGGAAAAAGAAAGTGTAATTTGCATATTTGAAAAAAAAAAAAATTGGCCCGTGAAACTTGACCGACCCGCCCAAAATATTGATGTTTAAAAAATAAAAATTTTAATGTTTACAAACTTGGAAAAGGAAAATGTAATTTGTATATTTGTAAAAAAAAAAAGAAAAAAAAAAGAAAAATTGACCCGTGAAAGCCGACTGACCCGCTCAAAATATTGATGTTTTAAAAATAAAATTTTAAATTTTTTTTTGATATTTACAAACATGGAAAAGGAAAATATAATTTGCATATTTGGAGAAAAAAAAAAAAATTTGACCCGTGAAACCAGCCAAAAATATTCGGGCTGGCCCAACCTAACCTGATTTCAGGTTGAGGTTGGGTTGGGCCAGCCCAACTTGCAACCCTAATTGTGAGTGAGTGAATTTTAAAGAGATAAATGAATTGAGTGCAATATAGAATAGATGTGTACTGTGGGTCTATTATGTGCTGGGTGAAATATGGGTTGAATATGGGTAGCCTATCTTGACCCTCAAATTAAGTAGTTAAAAATTACTCAACCTATTTTTGACCCATTTTAAATATGATTCACCCAAAATCATTAAAAACCGGATGAATGCGAGTAAGTTGATGATTTCAGACCCATTTTGCTACCTTTATAAATTACTGATACATTAACTTAGGAGTTCCATTTTACGGCACATGAAATAGAAGTTCTTAATTTTCAAATAGATATGATTCTTAAAAATGATGATGCATGTACGTAGACATGAAAAATTAAATAACATTTAAAGGTGAGGTCCAACCTACCATTTTAAGTTGAGTTTGTCAAAATATTAAGGGGTAAAGTGCAAAAAACCCCCCTGAGCTATTGGCCTTTTGCAACAAACCCCCCTGAACTACAAAAAACCCCCTTGAACTTTTGATTTGTTGCAATTAAGGACAATTCGGCAAGTGATTTGATCGGAAAAATCAAAAGACGCATATACCCTCATTTAAAATGACGCTGTTTCACACTTGTGCACTTTAACATAAGTGAGGTGCAGGATACCAATCCCAGGACCAATTAAACGTTGACATATGCATGACATGGTCACACACCCATCTCAATGCGGTCTCTGTTATCTTCCTCACCGAGTCACTTTAAAACAAAAAAAAAAAAAAAAAAAAAAATCCTCTTTTTCGCCGCCTTCTCACTTCGCCACCAAATCTAGCCGGCGGCTGAACTTGCATCACCAAATTCGTGCCTCCGACGCCGTGGAAACTGTGCTCCAATGGTCTATCGTGATCTCTTACAAGTTCAATAAAATATTGTATACTTTCACATGGAAAAGAAGGAGATTCCTCTTCCAAGAATCTGTTAGAGCATTGATTTTGGCAATCAATCCAAGAAGATGTGCTCACCGAAACACTACTGTCTAAAACCACAACAGATCTGCCAAGAGCATCATTGGAGCAAAATCCTTCAAAACCATAGAAGGTCACTGCCCAGTTCTATGTGTCTCACTGAACAACGCCTTTCTCGGCCGTTAAAACCCTCTTCGGCATCTCTCCTCTTCGGCGTCAAGAGACGCCGAACCCTCCTCGGTGCCAACAAACTTCCTCTTTCCACCTTACCCAACCAGTCCATTATAGCAAAGAAAACGATCAAATCCTCTACCTTGTCTTTGCACCAACCGGTGGCTGATTTACATGGTGGTCGCTGACGACGGCCTGGACCACATCGCGAGGGATGTATTCACAGTGCTGCTAATGTATCAGTAGATCTAGAACGGGAATGAGAGGGATGTATTCATAATGTTGCTAATGTATCAGTAGATCTAGAACGGGAATGAGATTGCTGATCAAAACTTGAACTTTCGACGACTGATTTGGGGTTCAATTTGGAAAGGAAAAAAAAATATAAAGTATCATCAATTTCGGAAATTTCGTTTTATGTTCTCCACATTCAATTGTTCAAATGTTCCAAACAGAGATGGTGATTTGGTAGAGATAGGATTTCAACATTCGATGATTGATTGCGGATTCAATTTGGTAAATTCTTCAATTTGAAAAAAAGAAAAAGAAAAAGAAAAAGGAAAGTATTATCAAATTTGGAAATTTTGTTTTATTTATACATTTAACAGAGATCGTGATCAAGAGGGATAGAGTTGAAAGAGAGAGGGACAGATATCGTGATCGAGGGGGACAGAGATCAGAGAGAGATCAAATCTATATATATATATATATATATATATATACAAATACACATTAGGGAAATAGATTTGGGTAATAAGGGTTTTTTGGTATTTTTGTATGATAAGGGTAAAATGGGCATTTAGAAAAAAAGTGGCTTGCACGCGCCTGATTACGGTCAAAAAATTTTTGCCCGTGACCGGAGTGGGTAAATTGCAATGAAGTACAATAGTTCAGGGGGTTAATTGCATTTTTTTTTAGTTCAAGGGGGTTTATTGCATTTTGACCCATAGTTTAGGGGTTTTTTTTACACTTTACCCTTAAGTCCAAACGACCGTACTGTATTAAATACCTTCAAGATGATTTGCACATAAGGTGATATAGTCCCTGAT